GGACACAGATAAACTTCCAAGTGCTTCAATGACCGTCTATAAAGGATGCAAATGACCAGCTGTCTGCAAGGAATATAAATCCTTACATTCCCCACAATCCAGTCAGAGCTGAAGACGCTTTTTGGATGAGAAGCGAAACGTCTTCAAAGAAAAAAAACAAGAAAGTCCAGTTGCCTCCTGAAAAAGCACTTTTGGGACATCAAGATCAATAGCTACAGCCGTTTGAGAGACCCTTTGCAGCTTCCTTATGAAAATGTACAGTATGTTCATTCTTTATAATAGGGGGAAATAAAATATATCCTTTGCTCCAAGTATGGTGCCTTAAATATAAATTTTTAGAAGGTATCATAATGAGCTTCCAACCGTCATATTTGCTTCTTAATCCCCTCACACACATGTCCGGTAAATGTCCAATACAAATAATAATAATGAAAATATAAGAAAACAATCCCTCAGGTTTTCAATCTTGCATCCTGATGTTTCCTTATCCCTCAACCTATGCCTATGCACATGGCTTAATCTTGTGATTGCTATTGAATATTGACAATTGTGTCTAAATCTTCAGTGGTTCATTCCTGGTGGTTATATCGGGTGTACCGATTGTCCTCAACATACAACCACAATTGAGCCCAACATTTCCATTCAGTTGTATACTGAGTTTTGCCTCATTTTATAACCTTTCTTGCCACGCTTGTTAAGTGAATCAGTCCCGTTCCCCCCAACTCAATTGGTATAGTAGCTTATTGTACATTTTCTTGAAAAATCAGGTGTCCTGGTACAATACAGGTAATCCTCGACTTACAACCACAATTGAGCCCAACATTTCTGTTGCTAAGACATTGGTTAAGCAAGTTTTGCCCCAATTTACGACCTTTGTTGTAACAGTTGTTAAGAGAATTACGCCCGTTGTTAAATTAGTAACAAGGTTGTTATGGGAATCTGGCTTCCCCATTGACTTTGATTTTCAGAAGGTCACAAAAGGCAGTCACATGATCACAGGACACTACAACCATCATAATTGCATGCCAGTTGCCAAGTGTCTGAATTTTGATCAGGTGACCATGGGGATGCTGCAATGGTCATAAGTGTGAAAAATGTAGATGTTTGTTGTGCTTACAGGTAATCCTCAATTTACAAGCAATAATGACCGTGGAGTTTATTTAATGACCCCTCCAAAAAAGGTCATAAAATCAGGATAGCCATATGGCTGACCTGTTTTGCAACCATGACTACTTACAACCATAACATGCAGCTCCATTGCAGGTGTAACTCAAGGACTACTTGTGTAGTTTAGATAGTAAGTAAGACTCAGAATTAACTGTTTTCCCCCATAACATCTAAAAAGGTAAAGGTAAAGGTTTCCTTGCATATGTGTGCTAGTTGTTTCCGGCTCTAGGGGGCGGTGCTCATCTCCGTTTCAAAACCGAAGAGCCAGCGCTGTCCGAAGACGTGTCTGTGGTCATGTGACCTGCATGACTCAACGCCAAAGGCGCATGGAATGCAGTTACCTTCCCACCAAAGGTGGTCCCTATTTTTCTACTTGCATTTTTTACATGCTTTCGAACTGCTAGGTTGGCAGAAGCTGGGACAAGTAATGGGAGCTCACCACGTTACGCGGCACTAGGGATTCGAACTGCTGAACTGCCGACCTTCTGATCGACAAACTCAGCGTCTTAGCCACTGAGCCACCACGTCCCCATAACATCTAGTTTATATCTATTCCAAATTATCAGGCAGGCTTCAATGGTGGGATTCAGCCAGTTTCCACCAGTTCAGGTGGACCGGTTGTTAAATTACACACACACACACACACACACACACATACACTATAAAAGTGGATCCTGGTCACTGTGCTGCAATGGAGAAACGGGCAATGGAGTGGCCAAGGGAAGGGAAGGATGCCTTTTCCCTCATGCTGGCCGCGCCGTTGCCCATTTCTCCATTGCAGCGCAGCACCCAGGATCCACTTTGATAGTGGTGGGGAGAGTAATTTAACAAAAAGTTCACCCAGGGTCAGGTTGGCCATCACGGGAGGTTCGTCCCACATGTGAAGCAGAGCTGGAGGACAAGGATGGGCCACGCCTCCCATGACGGCCAACCTGACCCTGGGCGAACCGGTTGTTAAATTATTTGAATCCCACCACTAGCAGGCTTGTGTATATCCAGCTCTCTCCTTAACGAGTCAGTAGCTTTCCCAGAAGTTGATGACATTCTGTACCCCGCAGAGATCCTCAGATATCAGAAAACCAAAAAGCTGTCTTTATGTTGAATGACTAAATGTAGACTAATCTAACAATAGATACCAGATGGATTTTAGTAAGTGGTCTAAATGCATTTGCCAGGGGTTTTTTTCCCCCCAGCCTAATCACATTACTGGCTCCTATTCAGTTTGCAATCGCTACTCTACCAGGAAATTTCGCACAAATAACATTAGCAAGTGGAGTACCCCAACTCTTATAAAACCCAGGGCCTTTGGCTTCTTGCACAATTTTGCACTTGTCCGTCTTGCATTGCATTCTTTTATTTTCAGACCATTCCTCCCATCTATCAAGATCATTTTAAATGTTGTTTCTTTCATTTTGGATATTAGCAAGTGCTCCGGTTTTGAGTCATCTAGAGATTTGCTCATGACAAATAATATGCTGCCTTCTGGTACATCCAGCATTGTTTTTAAGGTGTTTTCCAGATTAATCTTCCTTTAGAATCTTCTCAGGTATCTATGTTTTTCTGCTTTTTGACAAAAAAGGATAATATTTACTCTTCTTCAGTTGTATGTTATTTCATAAATTTCACAAGGTTTTTCAAAAAGGTTATATGAGTCCATCAGGTAGCATCTCTTAGCATTAACCAGCTATTATTCAAGTCATTTTCTTCATTTATTTTGTACATACCCAAAACCTTTCCTTATAATTCTTCGGTAGCTGGGCAATTCATCGTGAGATTTCATCTGCATAAACAGAGAGATAGAATCAAGATGACGTGAACTGTTAATACCACTTTATAATGCCTTGGTAAGGCCACACTTGGAATACTGCATCCAGTTTTGGTCGCCACGATGTAAAAAAGATGTGGAGACTCTAGAAAGAGTGCAGAGAAGAGCAACAAAGATGATTAGGGGACTGGAGGCTAAAACAAATGAAGAACGGTTGCAGGAACTGGGTATGTCTAGTTTGATGAAAAGAAGGACCAGGGGAGACATGATAGCAGTGTTCCAATATTTGAGGAGCTGCCACAAATAAGAGGGAGTCAAACTATTCTTCAAAGCACCTGAGGGCAGGACAAGAAGCAATGGGTGGAAACTCATCAAGGAGAGAAGAACGTAGAATTTAGGAGAAATTTCCTGACAGTTAGAACAATTAATCAGTGGAACAATTTGCCTCCAGAAGTTGTGAATGCTCCAATACTGGAAGTTTTTAAGAAAATGTTGGATAACCATTTGTCTGAAGTGGTGTAGGGTTTTCTGCCTAAGCAGAGGGTTAGACTAGAAGACCACCAAGGTCCCTTCCAACTCTATTATTTTATTCTATTTGCTTAAAGTTAGCCTCTGTGAGGCTAACTTTTTTTATTTGAAGCCTTCTTTTGTGATCTGTCCTTCTTCCCATGTCCTGTATGTGGTTTTTTTGTTTTGTTTTGTTTTGCTTCTGATCTTTACTAAGCCTTTTTCGGGAGGGGGAGAGAGGAGGGTAGCATTATTGGTTTCTTCCGCTTTCTTTATTCACGGCAGAAGTATGTTCAACTTATAGACATATAACATTCAATGCTGAGCAAGTCAAATAAGTATAAAATAGGTCATAGAAATATAGCGTGCGTAAAAAGGTTTTAAAAACTGTGTAAGAGTTTTCTTCCTCTGACCTCCATTTCTTTCTTCTGTCAGAATTGTTGCAATTGTTGTGCTTTTAGTATCTCTGTTTCCCATAAGACCCTTCTTCTGGATACCTACTTACCATTGTCTGAAGATATCAAAATTGATTGAAAACCTGAGGGATTGTTTTCTTATATTTTCATTATTATTATTTGTACTGGACATCTATTGGACATGTGTGTGAGGGGATTAAGAAGCAAATGTGATGGGTGGAAGCTCATTATGATATCTTCTGGATACCTACTTACCATTGTCTGAAGATATCAAAGTAAACATTTGGAAATCCAAAGTGTAATGGAAATATAGCCCTCATTGTATGAATCAGCTCATCCCATTAAGTTAGGGCTGTCAAATTTACGGCCCGTGGGCCAGATGCATCACGCACTGCCCACAGCCATGCCCAGTTTAGCGAAGGGGGAAAAAGTTGCAATACGTCACGTGACGATACTGTGACAATGCGAGTTTCACACCCCTGCATTAAGTCATAGCGCTGTGTATTTGCTAGAGAATACAACCTAATGCTACTGCTCTAAAAAAAAACAGAATAGTGACTTTTCTTTCTCTTTCTTAAGCAAATGGAGAAGTTTTGTGAAATGTCCTGACATTTGAATCACTCCAGGAATAGAGTGAATTGTTATGGGGAAGGTGTCTGTGTGTGGGAGGGACGACATTTTTTGCAATAGAGGAAAAAAATTAAAAATTGTAAAAAACAACAACAACCCAGCAATTTTTTAGGTCTCCTTTGGACTCCTCGAGCAGGAGGTTGGACTATTTTTTTATTTATTTATTTTTATTATTCATATTTCTATGCCGCCCACTCTCCGAGGACTCTGGGCGGCTTACACCAAAGACAGTATACTAAATAGCATATTGCCCCCTAACAATCTGGGTCCTCATTTTACCCACCTCGGAAGGATGGAAGGCTGAGTCAACCTTGAGCCGGTGAGATTTGATCCGCTGATCTGCTGAACTAGCAGTCAGCTGAAGTAGCTGCAGTACTGCACTCTAACCACTGCACCACCTCGGCTCAATGGAGGACTAGAAGACCTCCAAGGTCCCTTCTAACCCTATTATTCTATGTTCTAACTTGGATGTTCTGATTGGTTTTCTTTTCTCTAATTATTCTTTCTGTCCACAGTGCCAAAGATGGCTCCTGCTAATGTCAGTGGCAGAAGTGGAAGACGACATGAATTAGTAATAGCCTGGGAGGTAACCAACTCTTTTGATTAAATTCTTTGTTTCATGTTGACTTCTTTGAGGGCAAGCTAGACATTGTACGTCAACACTATGTTTCCCCATAGTAAAGCTTGTCAATGTAGGTACAAGAAGAACGTGTATTCAATGTCAGTTAAAATCTCCCTTCTGGTCTTAATTTAATGTATCTACACAAAAAAATCCCGCTACTAGTAGTTGAGAGTACCTGATATTTACAACGTTTCATTTTAAATATTTTTTTTTCCCATTCTGTTGAGAACTTAATCAGTTCTTGAGATCACGGTGGGAGTTAGTTTACTATTTTTCATCATTTGATGGATTAGGATAAGGATTGATAGCCACTAGAGACTGTCCCGAGTTTATAGAAGAAACTGCCACTCTTATTTCCAGCAATAGTACATTACAGACACTATGAGAAATTAAAAGAGTGACTCCTAGACTTAGAGATAAAAGAGAACAAGAAAAAAGTAGGGAAAAAGACATGTCAGAAAAGCAATGCAGAGGGATCATGTAAGAACTAATTTAAAGACCCAAAGCAAGGAGATAATTTTAACTCTTTTTATAATCTTAAAAGAAGGACCAATGGCATTTTCAAGGTTACTCTGGGTCTATTCCACCTTTTAAGTTTTGTTTTTTATCTAGGATTAAAATACTGATGGCATTTCCTTTTAAGTTAATAAGAACATTCTTGCTTTCTTTTCCTTTCCTTTGTTTTTTTTCCTTTAAGACAGTTAATACTGTGAATGTAAAAAGAACCGTTAATTTAATCTGCCAATTATTTAGATTACTTGGCTCTGTTTGGCTTAATGCTGTTTTTTAAAATTGTTGTTTATTGTTACTTATATGGTAAAAAAAAATCACTTATTAGAAGTTCAAGTGATGTAAAATAGACATTTATTTAAGCTAACTTCAGTGTATTATTAATTTTAATGGAATTTATTTACATAACTGATTCAGTAGGAATGCTTTCCATGAATTCTATAACCAGTTTACAAAGAAGACAGTATAAAATTATATTAAATAAATGCATTCACAGAGTGTATTCAAATACATTCCAGTTTGTATTCTGACACATATAATGTCATTTTATTAAAATCTTGCAACATCTTCTATATTTTTGAAGTTTCCAGCTGGCAAATGTAAAACAGATTTGACAGCTAAGGAGTCAAGTGAATTTTTTCTCCTTCCTTCCTTCCTTCCTTCCTTCCTTCCTTCCTTCCTTCCTTCCTTTCTTTTCTTCCTTCCTTTCCTCCCTCCCCTTTTCTCTCTCCTTCCTTCCCTTCCTTCTTTCTTCCTTCCTTCTCTTCTTTCTTTCTTTCTTTCTTTCTTTCTTTTCTGGTAGAAACCTATCTACTCTCACAGAGAGTGGCCTTTGAATTACTGTTTAATAGTAATTCAACACTCAGAAAATCTTTAACAATCTCATAGCTGAAATCAGGTACTGTCATGAGAATATATATGTATGCAAAGTAAATACTGTATCATTAAGTCATACCTCAATGAAATCTTGCCCAACTTTTTTCCAATCTTGTGCTTTAAAGAAGCTAACTAGGCACGACAGACCCTGTATTTCACAAGTGGAACTATTGGATAGCACCAAAGTGGAAAAGAAAGGTTTTTCTCAATGGGATAATAATGCAAAAGAAATAAGGAGGGTTTGTGCCTAAACTACAGTCCACAACCTATGAACCACATGTTTATACTTTTGGAAGTAGTTTGTCGTGTACCACTGAATCAAAGGCTTTACGGAAGTCTATTTAAATTGCGTCTATTGCTTTGCCCTAGTCAAGTTGTATAGTTGTATGTTTTTGCAGTGTAGGAGTTGCAGATTTCAACACTTCCAGATCAGTCAGTCAAAATTGTTATTTTGGCTGCTTTGGAAGAGTTGTAAGAGTGTAGATGGAAATGAATTGGTTCTTGGAGGCCTCCCATTCCCATTCCCACCTTATCCCTCTCTCTCAAACCCTGGAAGAACAGATAAAATCCTTCCAGTGATGTCGTATCATTATCATCATAACGAAGTTGGAGCCCAAGTGGTGGCCTCAGACATTCATTATCCACCATTTCCTAGACATTATTGGTTGGTTGCACAGTCAGTCAGATGTTCAGACTGGAATTTGTCTCCTCTCTTCCCCAACCTACAGTTGGCTGTAGGAGGAAATGTTTCCATTGACATGAGTGAAAAATGTTACATCTACATTGATCTCAGGTAGGTCTTGCAAATGCTGGTAGGAGTATAATGCTTATCAAGGAAGCCCTTGAGAATTACCTTGGAATTATGCTGCCTACTAGCAAGAACCTTGTAACTTGTGTGATATATATCCTGGAATCACATTTTGAAATGTCAGGCAATAATTACACATATGCCAGCAATTATTTAGTTTTTTTTAATGGGCCTTCCAAGAAATCCTATTGCTGCTGAAAAAAATAAACATTAAAAAAAGCAAAATTCTAATTACTAGGTAAACATTGAACATTTTAATAGGAATTGAACAAGGAAGAAAAGGAAAAATTTTCTAACAAATAATTGCCCTGTTTCAGTGACATTTTCACTGCAAGGTTCATATAAAATTCTATACAATCCTTTTATTTTCCTGCTTAAAGCGACATTTTAAGGTTATTCATATTTTAAGGCTTAATGCAGAAACAGAATTTAGCAGTGACAAAATGTTTAAATCATTGGGCAAAAGTGCAGGATGGCATCCAGAAGGCAAATTAAGTTGCTCATCTCAAATTAGATGCTCCTCATCTCATTTGAGGCGGCAGAGGAGATAGAGGAGGGAAGAGGAGGGAGAAGGAGGGGGAGAAAGAGGGAGAGGAAAAGGGGGGGAGAGAGGGAAGAAGGGAGGAGGAGGAGGAGGAGGAGGAGGAGGAGGAGGAGGAGGAGGAGAAGAAGAAGAAGAAGAAGAAGAAGAAGAAGAAGAAGAAGAAGAAGGAAGAAGAAGAAGAAGAAGAAGAAGAGAAGGAGGAGGAGGAGGAGGAGGAGGAGGAGGAGGAGGAGGAGGAGGAGGAGGAGGAGAAGAAGAAGAAGAAGAAGAAGAAGAAGAAGAAGAAAGAAGAAGAAGAAGAAGAAGAAGAAGAAGAAGAAGAAGAAGAAGAAGAAGAAGAAGAAGAAGAAGAAGAAGAAGAAATATCTTTGCATACTGTGAAGGAACTGTGACTCCTTGAATAGGATGTTTGCTCAGTTTGCCAGGTGGTTAATTATTAAATGTTAAGGCTATGTAAACCTTTGAGTCAAAATTCAATTAGAAGGTGATTTGATTGCGTCCCACCATTAAAGGGCCAAACTGAATTGCTGAATTGGATCAAGAACCTTACAGTCCATTTTTTTATTCAGTGGGTTTTTGCCCATACACTCAAATATTGTTTATTAAATCAAATTTACAGAATCAAATCTGTTTAATGCAACAGTTTTGAATCAATTTTACAAACTAGAGTTTAGGTGATTTAATTAACTATTTCTTTTCTTAGGGATCTTCACATTTAAAACAAACACGAACTGGGCTGGCTTTCAATTTAAGCAGGCTTTCCAAACTTGGATGCTCTCCTAACATGTGAACTTCAACTCCCAGAATTCTTTGCAAAGGCTCTCTCAGAATTCTGTGAGCCACATAATTTGAAGTTACTCCAACTGATGATGGCAGAAATACAGCGTATAGTTAAATAGAGCATCATCTTCTGCAACATAGGATGCTCTAAAAACTATGCACAAAATAGGTACAGAGTAGCACTGATTTTTTAAGAATTGTCCTTTCATAGTTTCCCAAACTTATATTTTCTTCCATGGGGAGAAGGGAGACAAGAAGCAGCCTCCATTAAAGCTAAGCAACTTGTTCAGATTATGCCTCTCTTAGAGTGAATTGAACAAATCCTAAGGCTTTTTAAATTAAATTTGATTTGATTTGATTTGATTTGATTTGATTTGATTTGATTTGATTTGATTTGATTTCTACAACTGCCTATCTTGGCAAACAATTGGGTGTCTCACAATTCAAAGCATATATTTCAAGTTTCTTCTCCAGTAATATTGTACTGCAAACTAGGGCATACAAAACCTTTGCCAGACCAATTCTCAAATACAGCTCATCTGCCTAGAACCTGCATTGTATATCGGACATTAATACAATTGAGCGAGTGCTGAGGTATTTTACAAGAAGAGTCCTCCACTCTTCTGCTCACAAGAGAATACCTCATGCCACCAGGCTTGAAATTTTGGGATTAGACAATTTAGAACTACTCCACCTTCAGTCTGACCTAAGCGCAGTACACAAAATTATCTGCTACAATGTCCTATCTGTCAATGACTATCTCAGCTTCAACCGCAATAATACATGAGCATACAATAGATACAAACTTAAGGTAAACCGCTCCAAACTTGATTGCCGAAAATATGACCAGTAACAGAGTGGCCAATGCCTGGAATGCACTACCTGACTCTGTGGTTTCTTCCCCAAACCCCCAAAACTTTAACCTTAGACTGTCTACTGTAGACCTCACCCCATTCCTAAGAGGTCTGTAAGGGGCATGCATAAGCGCACCAACATGCCTACTGTCCCTGTCCTACTGTCACCATTTATTTGTATCCTTATCCTGTATTCATAATCATGTTTATACTTATATCTGATATCTTATACATGTTTGACAAATAAAGAAAAAGTAAAATTAAAAATTAAAAATAAAATAAAATAAAACAGTAAAAAGCATTAAAACAGTAAAAAATATTAAAATGTCTAATTGGAAATACCTGGCCTTTTAACAATATCTGGCCTTTTAACAATGTAGCCAGGAGGGAGGGCCTTTGGCACATGTAGTGCCCTAGACTCTGGAGCAGGGCTCTCCAACCCTGGCAACTTTAAGACTTATGGACTTCACCTCCCAGAATTCCTCAGCCAGCTGAGGAACTCTGGGAGGTGAAGTCCACAAGTTTTAAAGTTGCCAAGGTTGGAGAGCCCTGCTCTGGAGCATATCCAGGTTTTTTAAAAAATAATAATAATAATAATAAATGTACATGTTTTTCTGCAGCCAGTCTCCGAAGAATTTCAGAATGGGGAAAGCTTTGGATACATCGTGGCTTTCCGACCGAATGGGACAAGAGGCTGGAAAGAAAAAATGGTGACATCTTCAGATGCCTCCAAGTTCATCTACAGAGATGAAAGCGTGCCTCCCTTGACTCCATTTGAGGTGAAAGTTGGAGCGTATAACAACAAAGGCGATGGACCGTTCAGCCCAATTGTTGTGATCAGTTCTGCTGAGGGAGGTGAGTACATCAAGCCCAAAAGTCAGCTGCATTTTCTAAGTCTTAGCCATAGACCTTGCCTATTACAAAAGGGAAAGTGATACAAAGGAAGCTCAAAGTCGCTTGCTGAATACTACAAGGGTGTTTGATGACGGAGTCAAAACATGTGTGAAAACAAATAGAATCTTCAGTAAACCTTCAACGTTGGGCAATCTTGGTTGTTTTAATGTGTTTACATTGTTAGGAAGAAATATCCATCTGGTTCAGTTCCAAGCCGGGAGAAAAGCACTGGAGACAAAATGGAGGCTGGAGGCTGATTGGAAAGATGGTTTAATGATGAAGCAGAATCACATGGGTGGTTCTGGGCAGCTGAACACATGGAGTTGAGAGTGGGGGTTATACCCTCTCTTGGGCTTTGCACTTGAGCTTCCTGTTCCTGTGCAAATACATGTACTCTGTTGGCTGTTGTAGGGTCATAGCATAGGTCTATAGGTTGTCTGAGCTCCCAGGTTTGGTTGAAGTTCAGACTGCTGAGATGATGTAACGAAGAGGCTTGTGTTCTGAAAGGATGTTGGGCAATTCCTATAGTAGCTTAATGGCTTTGTTCAAGTTTGGATCTTGAGTGAGGCCTAATCCTATCACTGTGCCTTTGTTCAGACATTGCTACAGGGAATTTCAAAATATCCTGTCTTGAATGGATTTCTGCCTGCAGTATTTGCTTTGCCTATGAATAGAGCTAACTCTCCTTATCTCTTAAGTGCTGACATCTTCTGAGGTCTATTAAGAAAGGTGGGGGCTGCTTTCTGCCTCTCCTTTTAGGGCAATACAGTATAATATTCTGTCTTTTCAATATTTCCTAAAATATTTCATTCTTCTAGGAGAGGGGTGGGTGCTAACTTTCTACAACATTAAAGAATGTTTGTAGTCACAATAGAGGTGCGTTGATTGAGAACATGATTGTGAAAACAGCTTTGAATGAATATTATACTCATTGGTTTAATCCCCTTTTTGAGACAAAAAGGAATATTTTTTTCTTTTAATGGCCTTGTAATCCCTTGTTGTGGAGTAGCACAGTTCTTATCTCTGTTTCTTAGCTGAGGAATCCAGCATTGTCTGAAGACATTTTCTGGGGTCATGTGGCCAGCATGGCTATATGCCAAAGGTGCATGTAATGCTGTTACTTTCCCACAAAAGGGTCCCTATTAATCTACTCACATTTGCATCCTTCCGAGCTGCTAGGTTGGCAGGTGCTGGAGTAGGAACGGGAGCTCCTTGTGCAGCATTTGGGTCTCGAACCCAGGTTGTCAGCTTTCCAGCTGACAAGCTCAGAGTCTGTAGAGATTCTCAGTCATCCAGGTCATGGTTGTCCCAAAGGTGCTTTTTCAGGAGGCAATTGGACTTTCTTGTTTTTTCTTCTGAAGACGCTTCGCTTCTCATCCAAGAAGCTTCTTCAGCTCTGACAGGATAGTGGAGAATAGAAGGATTTATATTCCTTGCAGACAGCTGGTCATTTGCATCCTTTTAGAAGGTCCATGAAGCTCTTGGAGGTTTATCTGTGTCCTCAGGGTCACCTGAGTAGTGCTCCTGGTTCCTGTAGTCTGCAATTTTTCCTCTACAAATCCATTCCTGGTGTGAATGGTGTAGGAGTAGGAATGGATTTCCAGAGGAAAAATTGCAGACCACAGGAACCAATGAGCACTACTCAGGTGACCCCAAGGACATAGATAAACCTCCAAGAGCTTCAAGGACCCTCTAAAAGGATGCAAATGACCAGCTGTCTCCAAGGAATATAAATCCTTCCATTCCCCACTATCCTGTCAGAGCTGAAGAAGCTTCTTGGATGAGAAGTGAAACATCTTCAGAAGATAAAACAAGAAAGTCCAGTTGCCTCCTGAAAAAGTACCCTTGGGACTGACAAGCTCAGCATCTTTAACTGCTGAGCCATCATGCCCCCTTATAAGAACATCCATTTAATTTGTCATCAGTAGATTTCACATTTTTATTCGCAAGATGAAATGTTAGCAATATTTCAGGATCTAGAGAAAATTAAACTACGTGTGACCTTGCAATTAGGGCTTTCAACAATACATAGTTAAATTCACTAGCTGCAGTGCTGCACATAGTGAGGCTCCATAAATCTTCGCAACTTTCATTATTGGGCAGGGTAGAAGCCATTTTTAGTAAACAATTTTCTCTTCTTTGTGCTTATATTCCGACTATTTTACAGGATCTCAAATTACCTATCCCTAGCAATCAGGTTGTTGCCATTTCAAAGATAATTTCCCCCTCCTGACTATTTTGCATTTACTGGAGTCTAACTGTCTGCCTTCCGTGCACTTTGTACCAACTTTGAAAATAATATCCCAGTGATAACTATACCAAAACTTCTCCTGAGGAAAGTGGATCTTTTAAAAATGTTCTCAGTGTTGGATTAAAAGTGATCCGATCACTTAAAATTATCTCATCCCTTTATCTATTGCTTGACATCCATACTGCCAGATAATTTTCTAGAAGAATAAAATGTTTCAAAGGTAAGCGAACAGGAAAAAAACGTATGCATGAATTCAACGTTCATTATTATCAAGTGATAGTCGGAACCTGTGCAAACTGGACAGTCCCCTAATTTACGATGCAGCTTCTTCTTGATTTGGGGTCCTCCTGGATTCAGTGGGACACTGAAAACAAAAGCAGCACCATGGATGTCTCTGTCCAGGATCACAGTGTTGTGGCCAGTCAGCTGCCAGCAGAACTGGTGGCAGACTCGGACAATGAGGAGGTTGGGGAGGAACTTGGGCCAGTCCTGGAGTCTGGGGAAGGCTCTGATGGAAACTCTGTGTCAGAAGCAGAGATAGAGCCAGGACCGTCCGACATTTCCAGGTGCCTTCAGAGTCAGAGATAAGTGGGGAAGAAGAACAGTTGGGTCCTGTTCCAGATGCGCGTATGAGCAGAGCTGTCAGGAGAGGAGAACAACTGAGGAACCGGAGCCAACTCAGGAAGAAAGACACACATGGTCACTGAATGGCCCCTCCCTGGCTGGGGAATAAGTAGAAACAAAAGGGGAGTGGTGGTTGCAGGAGACAACAGTTCGTATTTCTTTCGGAAGATTTGCTTATCGTGGTTCGTGCCTCAGAGACTTCTTGCCAGGAATTAATTTACAGCTTTGCGACTGGAAGCTCTCGGCCTGGCAATTATCCAAGGACTGATAAGGTCTGTTATTGCGATTAACCCTTGGAAGGATTATTGCCTGGACTTTTCTGTGTGTGAATGCCATGAATTCACAGTAGCTAAATAAAGAGGGTTTTTTCGGGACAAGGAATCTGTTTCTTGGTTCTGCTAAGGCTGGATCAGAACACAGAGATTTGAACAAATGGAATATAGATCCCCTATATTTTTTAAACTCATTTCAAAATATTAAGTAACAGGGAAGGAAGGAAGGAAGGAAGGAAGGAAGGAAGGAAGGAAGGAAGGAAGGAAGGAAGGAAGGAAGGAAGGAAGGAAGGAGTAAGTACAGGAAATATAGACGGTATTATCTATTTCCTTTCTTGTATTTTACCTTTTATGAAACTCTCAAACCATTTACATCATCATCTCTCTCAGAATTTGAGTTGAGATGGGCTTGGAGACATGAACTCCTACCTGTCTCCATCCCTTCAGTTGCATCTCCTGAAAAAAAACGTCAGAGGAGGAATTCCTTCACGATGAGCTTGAATTTAATGAGCGGATACAGAATTCTGGAGTAAGAGTCGTATACTAAAAAGCAGGATATTCACACAGGCCCGTTTGCAAAGTAACTGCAAGAAGAACATGTGTCTGCTCTGGATGAAATTTAGCAAAAGCAAATTTCCTTTCCTTAATCTGAAAGCTCGGGGGGGAAAAAATGCCAAAGAGCTCTCTGTCTGGTACTAGTCATTTCTCTTCAATCTGTCTTTCAGCACAACAATAATAGCTGATTTACTGGTACACTATCATCCGTTCTCCCTCCCCTTCCATCCATAGCAACAACATTTAAATTTAAGTTGCCAATTCAGTAAAAAGTTGTACTTTCTTCAATGGCTCTTTTAAAAAAAAAAAACAACCACTAAAATAGAACAGAGAATATCTTCTTTGATTACTACCCACAGGCCCTTGGATGTTGTATAATCTATACAGCTCTGGCATATCCCCCATCCCGTTCCATCATCATCAACCACTCCCTGTTTATTCACAAAACTCCAGCTGCTCTGCCAGTTCATTACAAATACGCCATTTATATTCATGAACTCGAAAATGTCTTTTCAAGCTTTTAATCTAATCAAGCCCATATTCGATCAATCAGCCTGTCTACTTCCTACCTCCACTGTAAGAGAGCTGTTGGGGAGATAATTAATGTCTTCGCCAGCCAACATGGCATGGTCTTTAGCAAAATGTACAGCAAGCATTATCCCATTAACATTTAGTTCAACAAGTTCACCTGTCAGTGTGTCACCTACAACTTCCTGGGCATACATTTTGCCACATATTTCCTTATAGCCAAATCTTCATTACTATAGCAGCTTGAGTCAGACATTGCTTTTTCCCTCGTTGGAAGAAATATCCATCTGGTTCAGTTCCAAGCCGGGAGAAAGGCAACTGGAGGCAAAATGGAGTTTGGAGGCTGTTTGGAAAGATGGTTTAATGATGAAGCAGAACCACATGGGTGATTCCAGTGCAGCTGACCACATGGACTTGAGAGTGGGTGGCTTTTACACCTTCTCTTGGGCTTTGCACTTGAACTTCCTGTTCCTGTTCCTGTGCAAGAACATGTATTCTATTGGCTGTTGTAGGGATCATAGCTGGCTCTGTAGGTTGTCTTAGCTCCCAGGTTTGGTTGAGGTTTCTGAGGATGATGCATCTACATGCCTCTGTGTGTGTGTGTGTGTGTGTGTGTGTGTGTGTGTGTGTGTGTGTATTCCAATTTATAGGCTTACACGATCTTGTTTTATTTTTTGTTGACATTGAGTTGTCAGCACTTTAATTGCCTCTTCTTCTACAGCGGTATGCAG